CTTGTCCCCCGGTGTTTTTAATTCTAATTTCGTTGGAATTGATCAAAACTCCCTAAAATGTGCAATTTTTAGAGGAAATTGGCCCATGTTGGCGAAGCGCGAAATTTGAGGTTTTTAGGCACTTTCAGGGGGGATGAAAAGGGCATTTATAAAGGGGTGGGGAAGATTTTTCAAAGATAGATATTTTCCCCTTGTCTCCCAGTGGTTACGCCATCGGGCAGCATAGATCAAAGGAGTTATGACAGTGGAGAAGGGGTTGCAGGGTGTTGTGAGTCTGATCATTATGATACCGGTATCTTCCTTTTTATTCTTGTCTTTATTTTTCTCTTTTTCTTTTTCTTTCCTTTTCTTCTTCTTTCTCTTTCCCTCCCTCTCCCCTCTTTCTTTTCTCTTATTACCCAGTCCGGTACGACGGCTTGGTCAGCCCGGTGAAAACCGGTTGGGGGGGGGGGGATGGTGGAAGGTAGGTAAATTGGTCTAAATTGTGCTTTAAATGACATACAGAATCTGTGATATATTCAACTTGTGTAATTGTGTAACGTATATTATTGTATTAAAAGTCTCTGTTTTAATATTGTATTATGGCTGTACAGTATGTTACTTTTATGAACACACTGCAAGAGCGTGTCTGCTGTTTTAAAAGCGTCGTTTCCAAAATAAAGTTGTAGTAATTATATAATAGTATGCAATAGAACAGCAAATCATTATTAAGATTATAAAACATCACCTTTATTTTCATTGTCATTCGTATTTATACAGGCTGTGCAAATATTATTATTGATGATGCTTAAATAAAAGTGAAACATCGGGCTTGGTCAGCACGGTTAAAAACCGGGGGGGGGGGAGGTGATCGTGACCGGGGGGGGGGGGAGGTGATGGTGGAAGGTAGGTAAATTTGCCTAAATTGTGCTTTAAATGACATACAGAATCTGTGATAAATTCAACTTGTGTAACTGTGTAACGTACATTTTATTGTATTAAAAGTCTCTGTTTTAATATTGTATTATGACTGTACTGTATGTTACTTTTATGAACACACTGCAAGAG